CTAAGTACTAACTTGTTAATAATCAGAACCATTTATGCATTACGAGTTCAACATTTGGCAAGTCTGCTGTATCATGTCAAACCCATTCAGGCTGAAGTAAATGAAGCAATAACTGTAAAAATACTGTGTTAAAGTGTAAAGGTCCTGCAACCTATATAGTAGAAAAATATTATCAGCAGAATTTATTAAAAATAATGCAGACAAAACGGTCTTTCAGGTATTATTGGATTATTTGTGCTGACACATTAAAGCAGTATTTAAAATGTTGTAGCTGATTTTATTACCTGTTGGATGCTTTGATGTACTTTATAAGAATGCCTTTTATTTTATATGCTCACTAGTTCAGTATACTCCAGCTGACAGATTAAATATAGTTCTGATGCCATGACCACTGAGAATTCTCCGTTCTGATTGGCTGGAAGGAGATAAACTCAGTGTGTATTTGTAAAAAGTTTTTGTAGATTAGATAAAGCATATTTTTAAGTTGCCATATATAAGAGGGATAATACCCTGTAAGTTGAAACCTTCCATGACTGTAACAGGTGACGTGAGGGAACTTTTTAAAATGCATGAACACAAAGTCTGAATAAGGGTGTTTGTCCTGTTCTTCCCATTCTGCAGACTGAGCCTGAATGCAGCATAACCCCTTAATATGGAAGGAAATTAAAGAAAGGATTTCAATACATATAACACTAAAATAAATGTATTTAGTTCCACCACTGCTCTGGTTTTCCCCTTAAATATTTTATAGTTTTTATTTCATTTAAATAAATGTGTGTTTTTTGAGAAATGTTGGATAATTTGACCTCTTTCTGCCTCAAATTATTTGTGTATCGGTTTGTTTCTTTCTTCCCGTCCCATTAATCATCTTAAGATCCCTCATTTATTTCGGTGACCCTCTGAAGGGGCTGACCCCCAGGTTGGGAACCACTGGCCTTAAAAAACTTTATATTAAAACCTTGAGCAGCTGTTGCAGATGTTTCTAACGCTGATAAATCAGTAACTAATAAAATCACACAGGAGACTTTTTACTGCAGAAAGACTCATACTTTATAGTAGTATAGTATTTTGTTGATAGTACTTCTTCCACCTGTGACCACAGGGTTCAACGGTTGTCCAAATCATTCCTCCTGAATAACTGCATATCTTCCTGCTGTCTGAACATATTAACACAATGAGAGCAGAAAGTGATCATCACCCACAGTCAGGACAAAAACCTGTCTGGGCTTATTCAGGACCCCCGACACAGACTGAATACTCTGAAACTGTTGTTCACCTGGAATTTTGGAAATCCCTGATGTGACTGTTTTTAACTCTATAACTCAAAGTATAAACATGAAATGAGTTTGAAATACTTGTTTTTATAGATTGACTGCATTTTATTAGAAACAGATTTTTAAAGAGCTTACATTCATTTTGTCTTCAAAGACTTTGAGAATCCAAAAACAGGTGTTGGGTCAGTCAATTATTTCCCTCAAAATAAAAATAGGGGTTAATGATTGTAAAGCCTTTTTGTAGACATGAAAATATATTTGTAAAAAACACATAATTCTGTACATGATATCCAGAGAGAAATACTGGACTCTTACTGACTCTTCTTCAGCTCTTAATAAATGATGATACATACGTCTTGTTCTCAGTGCAGAAACAGCATAAATACTAACTGGCAGCTCCTTCTTGGCACCGTGATAAATATAAAGCAATGAATAAAATAACAAAACAAAAGTAACATTACATTTATCTTTACATACATATTAAGTACACAGAAAATATTTAAACAATCAAACAATTAAACATTCACAGCAGTTCAGTCCTGACCCTGTCTAGCTGCCTAAAGTCTTTTTCACACCTGGGATGAAACAAAAGGCAGAATTTGGTTGATTTTTACTCGACATCAAGTCCGACATGAATATTCTCGTTCTGTTCGTTCCACCAAAAGATTAAACTAACATGAATTTGTCGTTGTGATGAATGACAGTGTATGAAATGGTGTAGTGGAGGAATAATTAAAAAGTTGTTGTGGTTTATGTTAAAATAAGTCTTTACTATAATAAAGGCTCAGGTGCATCATTCAAAAAGGTTGTACTTCGTCTCTTGGCTTGTCTTTTTAAATTCCTATGTTTGGCCAAGATTGGTCAAATAATTCGCCACTTTCAGTCGCCATTACTGCAATTCTGTAAATCTGATCATTATAATAAAGTAACTAGGGGTGTGACGAGATTAAAACGTGACGAGATTTGTAATCTCGTATCGCGAGACTCACGCAATTGACATTTTTCACATGTATCAAGTCACACATGAATTTTCTCACGCTGTGAAATACAAATGTATAAGTGACAATGTGTTCACAGGAGAGTAAACATGTATGTTAATAAGCTAACTACAGCTGGCTGCTGTTTTGACACAGCGGAGGAGGTCATATTTAATCACATTCTATTCTTTTAATTTGCTTTTAATGTTCATTGCGTTTCCATACAGCAGTTGTTTTATTTGCAAATTTGATGAAACCTGTACAATAGTAAGCTATTAAAATATGATGGTTATTTGGTCTTATTGGCTTGGATCTGCCGTCAAGGCTATTGTGGATGGATGGACAGAAGCTACAGACTCTAATCTATGGCTACAAAGGTCCAAACCCCCCCCTCTCTTACTCAGGAATCTGTAATCTGTGAATATATTTCCAACTTTACCGAACTGCTGAAGTTCACGTGTAAATTTGTGGTGAGTTTTCTGCCTGATCACAAGTGTTTCAGTTATATTCTGTTATAGAGTTTGAATTCTCACCTGCTATCTGAATTTAATGTTTCTCTTTACATAAATTAAAATAAATGAACCATAAACTGGTGCAGTAACATTCATCAGAACGCAGGAAATAAAGTGTTTACTGCTCAAACTTTTCATGAAATTCAGCATTATTATTATTATTTCAGCATTAAAGATAAAATTAAAATAGTGTTAAAATCTTGTCTATTGTCTTGTCTATATAGCGTAATATAAAATATATAGATTTATAATATTAATCTTGTAATGTAATCTTATTTTAAAAGTCCAGTTCTGACCCGCCCATTGCCGACCCCTGCTGTAAACACATGGGCGCCAGTGCTGGACGGGAAAATGACTGGGTCGGTGCTTCGTGGCACTCTGCATCGGGTGTAAGACAGGGACCCTAAATGTGTTTATCATATGTCTGGTGTTTATAGACCCTAGAGACATCATGAAGTTCATGTGTTAGAAGCAGGATAAATAGGTAAGTGTGAGGGTTTGAGCGACTTTGAGATGAGCAAACTGTGATGGCTATAAGACTGGGTCAGAGCATCTCCAATGGTGTCTGCCTCCTGAGCCCAAACTGGAACCTGGTTCCACAGGAGAGGAGCTTGATAGCTGAACGCTCTGGCTCCTAGTTTACTTTTGGAGACTCTAGGAACCACAGGTGCATTCTGGGAGCGCAGTGCTCTGGTGGGGTAGTAAGGTACTATAAGCTCTTTAAGATAAGATGGTGCCTGACCATTAAGAGCTTTGTAGGTAAGAAGAATGATTTTAAATTCTATTCTGGATTTTACTGGAAGCCAATGCAAAGAAGCTAAAACAGGAGAAATATGATCTCTTTTCCTGGTTCCTGTCAGAACACGTGCTGCAGCATTCTGGATCAGCTGAAGAGTCTTAATGGACTTTGTCGAGCAGCTTGATAATAAGGAATTGCAGTAATCCAGCCTAGAAGTAACAAATGCATGGACTAGTTTTTCTGCATCATTTTTAGACAGGATGTTCCTGATTTTTGCAATATTACGTAGGTGAAAAAAGGCGGTCCTTGATGTGAGACTTAAACGACATGTCCTGATCAAAGATAACTCCAAGATTCCTCACAGTGGTGCTGGAGGCCAGGGCGATGCCATCAAGGGAAACTATATCTTTAGATAATGCGTCACGGAGGTGCTTAGGCTCCAGAACAATAACTTCAGTTTTATCTGAGTTTAACATTAGAAAATTACAGGTCATCCAGGTTTTAACATCCTGAAGGCACATTTGAAGTTTAGGTAACTGATGAGTTTCATCTGGCTTGATTGATAGATATAACTGAGTATCATCTGCATAACAATGAAAGTTTATGGAATATTTCCTGATAATATTGCCTAAAGGAAGCATATATAAAGTGAAGACGATTGGTCCAAGGACAGATCCTTGTGGAACTCCATGACTAACTTTGACATGCATGGAGGACTCATCGTTAACATGTACAAACCAAAATCGTGTGACTGTATTGTCATTTGTTAAATGTTAGTGTCAAGTCAGCTTGTTGGAATGGCAGTGTGATGCCAGACGCTCTGGTGTCTTCAATTTGTCCCAAGGGAGACAATAAAGGCTAACCTTATCTTCTCTTTGTTGTATGACTGAATACTGACACTTGTCCTGTGAGTGCATTACATCTTTTTGTTTGGACAAATAAAGTCATCTTCAATCTTCAATCCTACCATATCTTGTCCTGCTTATCATCCCCATTCCTATCAGCGTGTGTGTCCACCATGATGGAAATTTGCTATTTTACTGGATTTTACTCTTTTACCTTAAATGCTGCATAATTGTAGGCCTATGTTTCATTGATCGTTTTCTTATGTTGCAGCTAGGTCAAGGTTCCCATGGGAAAGTAGCTCCTTAGAGGCTTTCTTATCAGACTGTCCTTGATAGGCCTTCATCTCAGGACAGTTGATTCATACTCCCAGACTGGTTGCACTCACCATTTGCCACAGGATTAGGTAAAAGTAGGGATGAGAAAATAAAAAAGAATGTGAAAGAGATTAGGCATGCACAAAATGGGGCAGAGAAATAGAGAGAGTAAACAAAGATCGAAACTTCACTTCCTGTTATAGTATCTTACAGCAGCTGACAAACCTCTCAACAACAGTCTTCTCAGCTACAGATGACATGGGCTAATCAGCTGAAATGTTACTGGCCAGATACCAAACATGTGACTCTTTTTTTCACACGAGGCTACATGCTTGGCAGCTACATTTTACATAAGCCACACACACACACACACACACAATTGAGTAACTTGACTAGGCATACCTATGTGTTTTTTTTACTTTGTTGCTGACTGCATTGTGCAAAGTGAAAGCAGTGGGCACATATAATACAGGAAACATCTTCATACACTCTGGCGGTCATGTGTCTCTGAATACTTGTCACTCCAAAGTTACTTCAACTTTGACAACATGGATGGTAAGTTGACCCTTTCATACTAAAAGTGTTGTTCTGAGCTAAACCTCTCAGTACTGGCTAAAATGAAGCAGGTAACTCTTATGCGCTTTCTTTATTGAACTGTGTTTTGTCCTGCTAGAGCTGAAGCGCTGAGCTGTTGAAGACAGCGAGACAATGCAAGCCTTTTTTAAAAAAGAGATAATTTATATGGACTGCTTAAACTAAATGAGAATGTGTTATCGTCAAAACAAATGTGATTGCAGGAGTAATTGACTCTGTTCTGACACGTGTTTTAAAATTATCTAAATGGTAAAGAGTCTGTTCCCCTCTCTCTGTAGGCCTGCAGATGTACAAACATTCAGGAAGCAGCTTCTCATTTTTAGTCAGAGCTGATGCTCGCTTTAACCTGTTTAAATCACAAGACAAAAAAGCCTGTAAAGTGTGGTATATTAATGGTCTGTGGTCTACCTGTATGAGAAGCCGCCCAGACCAAAATTGAATACTTTGCTTACACATACATATATACTGTAATTTGTAGGTGAGTTTATATTGTTGGACCGTAATTGGTAGAATTACATAGTCTATACCAGGGGTATTCAATTAAAATTCTAAGAGGTCCAGTCACACAAAATTTCATGAACCAAAGGTCTGGAACATCAACTAACTTGCGTTATCATTCAGTAGCCTACCATAACGTATAGCCTAGTTGTATAAAAATTTTTCAACTACTGACTTTCAACAATATTTACAGTTTTCACATCAAACTGATGGGATACTAAAAAAATAAGTACTCTAATAATAAATTCTAAATTTAAGTAATCTAAAGGCTGCATTTAAAAAAAGTTCCTGTAATTGTGCGTCTTAAAACAAATGTATTTTATTTGTTGCTCGATTTCACATTTTTGAGTAATTGAAGTGTAGTCTCAACCAGTTCTATAATTAACACTGAACACATCTTAACAAATGAACAGATTTAATAACTCCTCTTCGTTTTCATTCCCTCTTATAAACCACTTCCCTACTTTCTCTTGTTCAGTGAGAAACGTGAGCTGTGGCTAGGACTGGAGATATATGAGATATTCTGGTTCTGAACTGCCTGTGGGAAGAATGTACATCTGAGAATCTGTACATTCTTGATTAAAAGCCATGTGAAGTCTCTTTTCTCTTTTGGAACACATGCAATTGGTCTGTGAGTTTCCTGGGCTGCTAAACCAGGACAGTAAATGCTAGAAAAGCTGCACGGGTTAAAATAGAAACGCTCCGTCATGAGGTAGTTATTCTCAATAATAGATCGATTGTAATAATAATAATAATAATAATAATAATATTTATTTGTAGAGCACTTTTCAAAAACAAGTTACAAAGTGCTTTAACAAGTGTAAAGACAATAATACCCAAGAGACAATAATACAAAAACAATACAAGATAAAAGCATGAAAACATTGAAAAGACTAAAATGCACGTTTAAGATAAATATAAAATTAGTAAAAATACAATAAAATAAAAGGGATAAAATAAAGTAAAATAAGATCGGGAAAGGCTCTCCTAAAGTCAATTCTAAAACATACTGGGAGCCAGTGTAATGAAGCTAAAATAGGAGTAATGTGGTCATATTTCTTAGTTCTGGTTAAAAGCCTGGCAGCTGAGTTCTGGACAGTCTGGAGTCGATCAATAGATTTTTGGGTTAAACAGGTGAAAAGGCTGTTGCAATAATCCAGGCGTGATGAGATGAAGGCGTGTAAAATGGTCTCGGTGTCCTTAAAAGTTAACATAGATAGATTTTTTGCTATATTTCTAAGTTGATAAAAACATGATTGAACAAGCTTTGTGGTGTGCTGTTCAAAATTTAAATTACTATCAAACCAAACACCGAGGTTCTTTGCCACAGGCTTAATGTTATTTACTAGGGAACCAGCAGATGGCAGTATTTGATTTGCCATCTGCTGAGACCCGATGACCAGGATTTCTGTTTTGTCTGAGTTCAGTTGGAAGAAATTATTTGACATCCAACTTCACAAAGGCAGTTGTTAAGTGAACTCAGCATTCCAGGGTCTGTGGATCTGACGGGCAAGTATATTTGTGTGTCATCAGCATAAATATGAAAAGAAATGCCATGTTTATGGATAATATGTCCAAGGGGAAGCAGATACAAGGAAAACAAAATGGGTCATAAGACCGACCCCTGAGGTACACCATATTTGTCTATGAAGATTCTCAGTCATCCAGGTCATAGTTATCCAACAAAGGTTAAAGTCAAGTGCAACTGGACTTGGTTGAAGATACTGGAAGACGTTTCGTCCCTCATCCAAAGGACTTCTTCAGTTCTGACTGACTGGCAGGGAAACTCAGCTATTTAACCTCAGTGGGGTCGTTGGCCCGGGTCATCGATACCGCTGGTTCGTTAGTGTTCCTGGTTGCTGTGACGACAGTCGTTACAGTCGTTAAGACTACCTGTGGCCAAGACTGAACGACCATTGTTGGTATCTTCACCTGAGGCCAATAGGTTACGTTTGTTGAGTTTCCTGGGAAGTGATGAAAGGACAGCACTGTAAGTGGGGGATAAGTGGTGGCGTAGACCCCCTCCCCTGTTCAATGACGGCTTCTCGACCCGGGTGTAGATGCTTCCTTGACACCTCTTTCAAACCATCCATCTTCTCTGTCTAAAATGTGCACCTGGTGGTCCTCAAACGAGTGTCCTCTGTCCTTCAGATGTAAGTAGACTGCAGAGTCTTGACCTGAGGAGTTGGCCCTTCTGTGTTGAGCCATGCGTTTGTGTAGTGGTTGTTTAGTCTCCCCAATATACAGGTCTGTGCATTCCTCACTGCATTGGACCGCATACACTAGATTGCTTTTCTTGTGTTTGGGTGTGCGGTCTTTGGGGTGTACCAGCATCTGTCTTAGTGTGTTCTTGGGATTAAAAAACACAGGGATGTTGTGTTTGTTTAAAATCCTCCTGAGTTTCTCTGATACTCCAGACACGTATGGAATCACAATGTTGTTGCGTTTGACTTTCTTTTCCTCCTCCCCTGTAGTTTTGATCTTCTTGGATATTTTGGCTGTTTTCACAAAGGTCCATTTAGGGTATCCACAGGCTGTAAGTGCCCCCTTTAGGTGGTTCTGTTCCTTCTCTCTGGCTTGGGCGCTTGTTGGTATGTTTTCTGCTCTGTGATGCAGTGTTCTCATGACCCCTAGCTTGTGCTCCAGTGGCTGGTGGGAATCGAAGAGAAGGTATTGGTCTGTGTGTGTGGGTTTTCTGTAAACACCAATATGCAGGCTCCTGTCCTCTTCAATGTGTACAGCGCAGTCCAGGAAGGCCAAACTGTTGTTGTGAACATCTTCTCGTGTGAACTTGATATTACTGTCCACAGAGTTGATGTGTTCTGTGAAGGCTTGCACTTCCTGGCTTTTTTAATTTTGACCCAGGTGTCGTCCACATATCTGTACCAGTGGCTCGGTGCTGTTCCTCTGAAGGAGTTGAGGGCTTTGTTCTCCACTTCTTCCATGTAGATGTTTGCCACAATTGGGGATGCCGGTGAGCCCACGGCACAGCCATGACACTGTATGTAGAATCCACCGTTATACTGGAAGTAGGTGGTGTTTAGACAGAGGTCGAGTAATTTACAGATCTGGTCAGGGCTGAGGCTAGTCCTGTTGTCCAGGGTGTTGTCTTGTGTTAGCCGTTTCCTTACGGTTTCTACTGCTTCTATGGTGGGGATGCAGACGAACAAAGAAGTCACGTCATAGGATTCCATGGTTTCATCTGGATCCAGTTTCAGTCCTCGAACTTTGTTTACAAAGTCAATAGAGTTTTGGATGTGGTGAGGTGTGTTTCCCACCAAAGGAGCTAAGATGGTAGAAATGTGTTTAGCAATGTTGTAGGTGACCGAGTTAATGCTGCTGATAATCGGCCTGAGTGGGGCTCCTTCTTTGTGTATCTTGGGTAGTCCATAAATGCATGGAATGGCTTCTCCAGGATACAAACGGTAATATTGTTCACGGGTGATGTTGTTGTCCTTCTGTAGCTGTTGTAGACATTCTATTTTTCTTGTATGCGCTGGTTGGGTCTCGTCTCAGTGTCTCATACGTGTTTGTGTCCATTAATAGTGTGTTGACTTTGTTCTGGTAGTCAGCTGTGTTAAGGACTACCGTGCATCTTCCTTTGTCAGCAGGTAGGATAGTTATGTTTTGATCCTTGCTCAGAGATGTCACAGCTTTCCTTTCTTGGATGGTGAGGTTGGAAGGGGGGGCCTTCGCATTAGAAAGGGGTGCAGATACCTTTAGTCTGAGCTGTTCCGCTTCTGTTTCTGTTAATTTGTTTTTCCTAATGGCCGATTCTGTGGCTGTGATGAGGTCTACTATAGGTAGTTGCGGTGGTGTAATGGCAAAGTTTAATCCTTTTGCCAGAACGTCTTTCTCTGGTTGGGTGAGTTCGCTATCTGACAAGTTTTTCACCCATCTGTTGTATGTTTCATGTGTTGTGGGGTTGTTGTCCTTTCAACTCAAAGACAATTCTCCTGTTCTGTTAGTGCAGCTTGCTCTGGACTGTAGGTTTTGGAATTTCCAGGTCTGTCTTTCTTTGCTCTTGTTGTGCTGAGATAGCTGTGCTTTCTTGATGAAGTCCATGACCTTTCCCAGTGCTGTACTGGGCAGATATGTATATCTAGTTTGTGGTGTATGTTGTCCAATTCTTTGTTCAGGGCTTCAATTGTGAAATGTATCTGTATCTGTCTCACTCTCTCATTCAGTAGCTGGTGTTGCACTTTCTCCAGGATTATTCCGGCTCTGTGTCCTTTAACCGTGGAGCCTAAGTGTAGGCTGTTGGGAATAAGTTTGTGTTGTCGGCATCTCAGGTTAAATCGTAGATGGTTCCTGTAGTCTGCAATTTTCCTGGCTGTCCTTTCATACTCCCATACCAATCTGAGGGTGTTCATCCCAAAATGATTAGCAAGATGTGTATGAAGATTCTCAGTCATCCAGGTCACAGTTATCCATCCATCTTCTCTTGGTCTAAAATGGTGGACCACCAGGTGCACATTTTAGACAGACAAGATGGATGGTTTGAAAGAGTTGTCAAGGAAGCATCTACACCCGGGTCCAGAAGCCGTCATTGAACAGAGGAGGAGGTCTACGCCACCACTTATCCCCCACTTACAATGCTGTCCTTTCATCACTTCCCAGGAAACTCAACAAACGTAACCTATTGGCCTCAGGTGAAGATACCAACGATGGTCGTTCAGTCTTGGCCACAGGTAGTCTTAACGACTGTAACGACTGTCGTTACAGCAACCAGGAACACTAACGAACCAGCAGTATCAATGACCCTGGCAAACGACCCCAATGAGGTTAAATAGCTGAGTTTCCCTGCCAGTCAGTCAGAACTGAAGAAGTCCTTTTGATGAGGGACGAAACGTCTTCCAGTATCTTCAACCAAGTCCAGTTGCCCTTGACTTTAACCTTCGTTGGATACACCATATTTAACTGGACAGAACGAAGAGACATAATTTTTTACAGACACGCAAAACTTCCTATTTGACAGGTAGGATGAAAACCATTCTAGGGCAGTACCAGAGATCCCCACCCAGTGCCTCAGTCTGTCTAACATGATGTTGTGATCAATGGTGTCAAAAGCAGCGCTAAGGTCCAGGAGTACCAGGACTGAGCACATGCCTTCATCAGCAGACATTAAAAGGTCATTGGTGACTCTAAGCAGGGCAGTCTCAGTGCTGTGGTACTTCCTAAAACCAGACTGAAACTTTTCAAATAATTTGTTATTTTCCAGTACAGTGAGTAACTGTTTGGACACAATTCTTTCTAAAATCTTTGCAATAAAATTGTAGGTCCATGTCTGGACAGTACGGCGGCTGGGTCCGGATCCGGACCGTGGTCCGCCTATTAGTGACCTCTGGTCTATACTATATTCTTCAATAATATGCTTGTGGGCCATCTTTTATGTATTGACATCATTCATAATTCTGTTATGCAAATGCAGCTATTTTATAAGATTATATAAAAAAAAATTTATTTTGATGTTTGACCAATTAAGGTTTTTGTTGTGGGCTAATTGAGCTAACGTGTAGGTTCTTACATATGAAAACCACTAAAAGACAAATACAGTACAGTATCATTGATGGCAATTATTTTATTTTCTTTCAGTCCCAAATAGAAGAATTGTCATCTTGGGAAAAACTGGAGCTGGAAAAAGCAGCCTGGCTAACACCATATTTGGAGAGAAAAAGTTCAAGATTGATGATTCTCTCAACTCTGGAACAAGTGAATGTAAAGCAGAAACCAAATCTATCAATGGAAGAAGCATCACTTTGATCGACACGCCTGGTTTCTTTGACACTGATAAATCTGAGGAGGAGCTGAACTGTGAGATAGTGAGCTGTATCACAAAGTGTGCTCCTGGTCCTCATGCTTTTCTCATTTTGCTAAAAATAGAGAAAGCCACAGAGCAGGAGAAGGCTGTAGTGAAACAGATATGCCAATGCTTTTCTGATGAAGCTTTCAAGTATGCAACAGTTATCTTTACTCATGGTGACCAGCTCCCTAAAGGACAGAAAATTGAGAAATATGTCCAGAACAATAAGTTCATGAGGGATCTGGTGAAGAAATGTGGCGGCCGTTGCCACGTCATTGATAATAAATACTGGAATGAAAACCCAAAGGATGAATATAGGAGCAACCAGTTCCAGGTGGAGGAGATACTTAAGTCAATTGACAAGATGGTGATGGAAAACAATGGGAGCTGCTACACCAATGACATGCTACAAGCAGTGGAGGAAGAAATACAACAAGAGGGGGATCAGATTAGACTGTTATCAGGAGACAAGTCAGAGAAAGAGATCAGAATGCTGGCTGAGGTCAGAGTATCCACAAAGCTTTCAGTCAGGTTAGCAGGCATAGGAACAGGTGCATTGTTAGGAGCTTTATGTGGTGTAGGAGTGTTGGTTGGATTAGTGGTCATAGTTGTAAAGAACATAACACCAATTCAAGCTGTAACCCAAGCGATGGCAAAATTATTTGGAGAAAAAGGAAAAGCAGTAGCAGCAGCAACAGCAGCGGTAGGAGATAGAGCAGCAGTAGCAGGTGGAGTAGCAGTAGCAGTAGGAGCAGTACAAGCAGGAGAAACAGCAGCAGTAGCAGGTGGAGTAGCAGCAGGAGAAACAGCAGCAGTAGCAGGTGGAGCAGCAATAGGGGGAATAGCAGCAGTAGCTGTGATAGGTACATCTGCTACAGTGGGAGCAGTTATGGGAGGTTTTGCAGGATATCATGCAGCTGAGGGAGCAGACACCTCACTGGAAGCAGTAAGAAGGTCAGCAGGTGCTGTCAAGAATGGAGCCCTGTCTGTCTTAGATAAAGCAAATGATTTTATGGAGAAAAAGTTTCAGTCAAAACAGAGTTAAAGGTGTAGTAATATTTAGGAGGAACTATTGACAGAAATGCTATATAATATCCATAACAATGTTAGACCTTACATAATGAACCATTATGTTTTTGTTACCTTAGAATACACCACGGGTCCTCTTATATTGCCATGTTGCGCTACCATGTTTCTACAGTAACCAAAATGGACAAACTACTTTACAGAGTGTGTTTCGTCACTATGTTGAATAAATACAAAAAAAAATCAGAAGCAGTATTAGTAGTAGTTGACTGGTTTATTGGAAGTATGACGAGACAAGCAGAGGACCACACGTAACCACACGCAAGTTAAAGGAGACCTATTGTACTGCATTTCCAGTCCTTTATTGTTGCTCTTTGACTCCTGTATGGCAGCTTTCCATGATTCAAAGTTCAAAAAAAGCATTTTCTATATTATACTGGCACTCAGGCCTTTATTTCAGCATCTGTCTGAAACAAGCTGTAGATGCTCCTGTCTCTTTAAGCCCTAATGGGGCTTTCACACCTAAAAGATTTGCAGTTCCCATGTGCAGATGGACTGCTTGCTGTCTTGTCCTCCTTTCCTGCTGGCAATTATATAATGTTTGCATAACGAGGTTGTTTATGTGGCAAATTTGAACTAACCTCGAGAATAGTTGGTGCAGCAAGTAGTAATGCCATAATAATAACAATATAGTTGATATATAGTAATGATATTAAATACTCATCCCTCATTCATTCATTCTTGTACCAGCTGAACTGTTTACAAACCAGTCAAGTATAGGGAGATGCAGCCCACATAAATGATGACAACAGGACGCAGGTCTGTCCTATAGTCCTAAAGTCTTTTAGTGCGGTAGCATAATTGCAGTTTGAAACCAAACCAAAACTAACTGAATGTATCAAAATGTAACAAAACATGAACTTTGGTTTGAACCTTGGTGCACTGAACCTTTAAACCCTTTAACTCCGAGAACAGTTCCTCTTAAAACACCTCTAACCTCTAACATGCACTTCCTGTGCTCTTCTTCTTCTGTCCCCTTACAATTAGCTTGTATTGATTGCACTTTTTGTTAAATTATACTTCTTCCCAAGGTATTTACCCCATTGACGCGATATGTCCTCATACTAGTATTTATTATTGCTCTTACTAGTATGTATTGTCAGATGTAATTCTTGTGCTGTAGTTGATGCTCTGTTGATGCTTCTATGTTGTTCCTCAAATGTAAGTTGCTTTGAATAAAAGCGTCTGCCAAATGAGTAAATGTAATGTTAATAGCCGTGACTCTCGAAGGAGGAGAATATCTTGGTCTAAACAATATTTAACCATTGAGCCGATTGTGTTTATTCATATGTAATACCCTTACATAACCAGAAAATATTACTTTCTTTATATTTTACTTTGTTAGACAGGCCTTCTGAGGCTCCAGCAAAAAAGTTCTTTGTGGATTGAAATGTATCACCAAGGCAACTGTGAACAATGAATGAATTAAAACCTATGAAAGTTTTACTTTTGCAAATTTTTATTCGTAAGGTAATTGATTTATGAATGGTGTATTGGGATAATTATAACTATAATATAATAATTATATAAATATTTTTAAAACTATTAGACGGGCGGCAGTAGCTCAGTCTGTAAGGACTTAGCTGGAAATTGGAGGGTTGCCAGTTCGAGTCCAGCTAGAGTGAAAAACATTGAGTTTCCCCTTGTGGGATTAATAAAGAGAGAGAAAATATAGATGACATTCCATGAAACTAATTTTGACAGCTACTTCCGGTCCCGCCCCTTAACCGGATATGTGTGTGTAACTGATAAGAGGGGTGCGTACATCCTTCCATTGTGTGTTTTTGACTGATAATTGGAGGAGGTTTTTTATTGATTTAAAGACTTTATTAAGTAATAAAACATGAACTTGAATGAATTAACTAGTAGGTGTTTATGGCAATAAATTTATCATTAAAAAAGTATAGCAGTGAGTTATAAGTAAAGGAGGAATCTCCGGGGCCAGCAAAGGGTCAGTAGGAGGTTTCTTCATTGATTTGTAATCAAGTCAGTCAGTAATGGAAATTTGAAATTTCCATCACAACAGTAAAGCAGTAAAATGGTATAACGGTGAGTAAAAATGAAACAGCATTATAAATTACCTTCAACAGCATGCAGTAAAATAAGAGTGAGTTCCAAAATTAAACTTTGTAAAATCTTTGCTAAGGCTTTGTGTGACCAACTTATTACTCATTATTAAAGAACTAAAGAATAAATTGAATTAATTACAGTAAAGCAGTAAAATGGTATCCTATTTTTATCAGCCGGAGACAAGAGTTTGGAACTACATACTATATAATAATCTGGTTGTACCAGAAGCAACGGTCCCCAACCCCTCACCAGTTATCTCCCACATGCTGTCACATACAAAGAGGATGGGCAGAGTTAGCCAATGATAAGAGACTAGGAGGGGTTACCATAGGCCAATGATGGGAGTCTGCGAAAATAAAACAAGAACATTGTCTTCAAGAAAGAGGGCAGTTGGATCCTTGAACAGCATCTACCTTCCAAAGAGGGGACCTCCATGCGGTGAATTTTTTTCAGCTAATGAGTGTTTGTATCTCTTAAAGACTTTTTGTTTCTTTCAAAAATGGAAATTTTAACATCATTGTTAGTAATATTTAAACATTTCTCTGTGACACAAATATTACAAAAATATTCAGGTCCACTTTATTGAGAATTTACAGTTTTACCTGTTATTCAGAAATAACTTGGATGCATGTACAAATATCAAGGATTGCAGTATTAGCAGCAAAAGGTACTTTATCCAGGGATCAATTATATAAAATGTCTTATTACACTAGTGCAGTCATTTAAACTTTCTCTTAGGGGAATTCAGGTTTGTCTGTGGTGGTTGGTCATTTTTATGACCTTTGTGGAATGGTGAAGTAGGCCTTTTTAAAGGGCCTTCATCTTTATCTTATTTTGTATTTGCTCTTCATAATTATAAAATAAGGACTACAAGGCTCAGCAGCAAGATCCTATTTTTTGTAAGTAATCACTAAAACAGGTTTATCAACTTTTAAAAAACCATTGGAATAATTCTGTGTATTTCTGTAAATATTGTGAAATGAAATTGACCAGTTATTACGATCAATTTTGCAATGTACTTGTTTCTTCAATCTAAATTTTATAGGATTGCATTTTATTTATTGACTGCATTACAGAAACGTCCATTGTTGGCTGGCATGTAATGACACGGAGTTCCCTCTTAGTTCCTTCTTAGCTAGCATGGAGCGACACTCCAGCATGGATGAATAAAAGAATGGGGTATTTCTATTAAGAGAATATTGTAATCTAAACTAAATATTTAATTTTTAGTTACACTTACAAAATAAGGACAATTCTTATGTAGCAAAAAACCCAAAACTACAAGTGTTAACAGCGTCCAAATAACTCTAAATTTAGTCTTTCAATAACATATAGACTATGTCCCTCATTCTAAACTAAAGCCTTACTCATAACTAAGTCACTAGTCATGCTAACAGGCCTCCTCTTTCCCTTTATTAAAAAAAGCTAGAATAATAAAAAATTAGTTTACAACTTCATCAACTGGAAACTTCAAGAGCTAAAGTTTGATCCAGCTGCCTTTTGCTAATTAGGGTTAGACTATTACAGAGGTCATGAAATCCAGAACCCTTCCCTTGGGGATGAAGTATTCAAATGCTAGTTAGCTACTTTGTTGACATAACAGGACAGTAGTTTTCTGTTGATGAAAATAAAACAGAAGGTTATAATAAATCTCCTACAGGTAAAAGAATAAAAATCAGCTTCTTTATTTTGGCTCAACTGTGATCTGTGCTAATAACATTTATTGCACGTTCCAAAGCTCGACAGGAACCAGCAGCTTCAACAACAAAACTCTGTAACAATATCTATCATATGGCTTTTTATTTTTTATGTAATGCCCAGATTTACCACGGGGTTCTTGACTAGCCAGAACAGGATGTTCAGCAGTCTTACACTGTTTCATTGCATGTCTTGCATTCAACCATAGTGGCTAGTTTGTCCTTGACAATAAGGTTTTAGTAAAAAGTCTCATCACTGCTGCGACCTCTTTTTTGAGACCATGCTGTTTCTATTTTTTTTCTAGTGTCCCCTTCCATAGCATTTTTTCAGAGACACTACAAAAGAGGAAAACAGATTGCCATCGATAACCCAAACTCTAGGGTTAACTCATAATTTTCATTACATTTGTTATGTAGTAAATCTACAACTTCAAAGCAATTTAAAGTAGGGATGAACCGAATCAACTTTTTGTCTCCTGGTTCTGTACTGGTCTGATATCCCAACTCACGGTTCTGGTGCTGGATGAGACCATGTGGTGATCAAATGCCAATGCTCTCTCGCTTCCCCATATCTAAAATATGTAAAACTAATACCGCAAAACTCATCGGGATCAATCTTCTATCTGTAAGTTAACATGTTGCAAATTTTACCCTTGCTACTAAGAGTTAGTACATGACACGCAACATTAGTCCTCATTTTCTGAGCTGCTTTCTGAGCTACTTTTGTCAAACTTTGTGAGGCTGTATTTCAGCCGCACAATGAAAAGAAAATGTGAAAATCTAGTTTTGGGGAGAAGTCTGTTTTTTGCAAGTGATAAGCTAGCCCCGAATCACACCATCAAAACTTCTAGTTTCACATTTAAAAAATCCTGCCCCCACCTTCATACTATATACTTGTTTTGTGAAGCACATGCAGGAAGGGGGGGGGGCATGTCCCCCTCATGTCCGACGGGTATGCTTCAGCCCCTCTGAAGTTCAGCTCACAGCCGCTTCAGAGGGAATGAAGCATCCTGGAGCAGAGAGACAGTCAAACAGAGCGAAGTGTCTCTGAGCGAGGGGGACAGAGACAGCAGAGAGAGAGACAGGTGTCTGTGTCGCGGTCAGGTGATCATGTTATTCTCTTACTACTTTGCTTCGGACTGTTAACCGTTTGTTTCTGAGCGAGGAACGACAAATAAGAGACTTGAGATGGATCTTTAACGAAATGAGACCTGGCATCTGAGCCCTCAGACGTCAGTAAAATATGGCGTGTTGCACAGATGCAGCATCACCAGCTACCAGCACCAATTCATCCAGGTTACAACGACAACGACAGTTTCATCATCAGTCACTGTACTTTTGTAATAACATGTATACATAATGGGCATTATCTATTTATCTATATGTGTGTATAGGGGGGGGGGGGGGGGGGGGGTGTTCAAATGAAACCCAGTTTTCATACGAGACCCATAAAGTTTTTTCCAGATTGGATAAACTTAACCTGAAGAAAAGTCTTGAGGCTGATTGAAAAATGTGTAACACAGCTCTATTATTGTTTTGTGTAAACTGCTTCTGTATTGAACATTATCTCAATCTGTATAAACATGAAATGACTTGTTGTTACTGATTTACCGTATTTTATATTCAAATGAATTGATTTTAAAAGACGTTAAAATAAGAGTCTTTACAGTCCAAAAACTAGGTGTTGAATCAGTCCGATAACCACTTTCTATACTTTACTTTAATATAAAAACCTCATTAGGAATGTTTGTATGACATTAATGCTTTTATTCAACAGCTGAAAGTAGATGGCAAGAAATGAAGATAAACAGATTTGGAGCAGCGTGCAGTCGCTACTTCACCTGGTGAGTAACAAGTAACAAAATATAAAAGACAACTCTGCAACACAAACTGACTGACTGGGAGAACTTTCACCAACACACTGTAGTGAAACTATTGTTCCAATAAGAGCACTTTTATATGATCTTTAAAATCAGCTTTGAAAATGTTTCCTGAGAAAAGAACATTCAACATGTTGGTTTGACCTGATGAAGACGTAAAAATGTAATAAAAAATGATAACTTTAGCTTTTTCATAAGAAAACAGGGGTAAATGATTAAAATGCATTATTACAGAACATAAACATAAAACACATCATTCTTTACGTAATGGATACAGAGCGGTAATGTAGTTGTAGCTGAACCAGAGTCTGTGAGACAAGACAAGCCTGTATTATATGTATTGTGTTGTGTTATAATGTATATTACACTCTATAATACAGACTTGTCTTTAGTGTAGTGTTTCAGAAACAG